ACAATTGGTAGAAAACGAACGATATGATACAATCTTTTCACTTGCTCGCTTCAATAACTAGCGGAGGACGGGTTGGCCACCACGCCAAACTCACCTCGCCCTCACACACCCCTTCGTCCGCAGCGAATTAGAGTATGGTGCATGGGGAACTGTAACCATTTAAACCTTCAGAACGACGTCTGCCGGTTCTCCATATGCCCGAAATTCGAAGCAGTTAAGAGCTAAAAGTCCGGAAACGGAATATTGGAAGCGACATTCTGCTTGGAGAAGGTGCGCTGATCGCTAGTAGCATAACGAAGAGTGCGATTCGGCTTGGGGGGGGGAGGGGAAGAGGGGCATTCGGGTGTTTCACTACTTCCCATCGTCTTGTCCTGCTATCGGGCAAACATTTATGAAGTCTTGTCTAGTCATGAAGTAATACCACTCAAATCCTGAAGCTTGGAAAGACTTCTCGTCAACTTTTGTGGAAAATATCGTCAACTCCTGTAAAAGTATGAGTAAGACGATCTCGAGTAGGAAGTCAATCCCCCTCCCCTGCAAGCCGGACTGCGTCTAACAAAGCTTTCACCAAATCTTTCAGAAGATCGCCTGATTTGCCGCGATTTCGATATTCGAAGCAGCCAAACGCCGAAAATGCAGAAAGTGACGATGGTATGGGACAATCCGCAAGGGGAAGGTGAGACTTTATAGCACAACAGAGCGCTTCACGCGCTGTAACGCGCGACGTCGCGAAGTCTGAACGTTGCCTAAACCTAACCTGCAATAACATCGAATTTGTCACATTTCGACTCTTCAGAAAGGCGTCAGCCACTGCTCCACAGGCTCGAAGTTTGGAGCAAATGAGCATGCAAAGCTTCGAAAGTGAGGATTTTGAGCCACATTCTGGAATGGAGAAGGCTTGAGAGAACTTTGTGCCACATTCCTCGATGAGAGAAGGTAAGCCTAATCTATGGTTAAGCACGAAATCCGCGACAGATTAAATTCCCAGGTAATACAGGTAGGAATACGAGTATCGCAACATTTCGCTGTAAACTAAAACGTCCGTCCCGTAAAGCACACAAATGGAATATTACCGTTCCCCAGGGGCGCCCCTTTCAATTACCCGAGTTCGAGGCACTTCCCCAGGGGCGCCCCTTTCAATTACCCGAGTTCGAGGCACTTCCCCAGGGGCGCCCCTTTCAATTACCGAGTCGAGGCCCCACATCTATTACGCTGGCTGTATAGCTCTTAGGCGTGCTTGGTTGAATGCGCAGTTTGATTGTTGACCCGACTCGTACAGGGTAGGCACGGAACAGAGTTACTGACGAGGCGTGGGGCGCAAATTCCGCTTTCGACCCACAGATTGGGTAAGACCGCCGCTTATGTGCAATGAATAATGTTGTGTGCGGTCACGGCATCCTAGTCCTTAATTCAACGCGCCTTTTTGGGATACTGTATAGAACGGTTGTACTGCACTCATAATCTGGTGCGAAAATGTTTCACCATTTGACTTTCCAGAAAGTGGGCCAGTTTACCGCGGGCTCAAAATCCCAGACAGCAAGCATTGAGTGCCGAAAGTGAAGATCAAGTAGGAAGTGTAAGCATGGATAAAAAAGAAGACGAAGTAGAGGCCCCCGAAGAAGGAATGAAATATGACCAGGAGGAATTTGAGAAGCGATTTGACCAGTTCGATAGACGATATGCTCTCTATTATAACAAAATTAAATATCAACAAAACAAAAGAAGAATGAAGAAAAACAGAAGGGAAATGTCAAACGTCTGGGAAGCATCTACGAGATGTGAAGTACCAACGGGACGGATAGCACCGAGTAACAGGAACTACGACGAAAGGCCCGGACCTTAAAGTGACGAACAAGGTGACTCTCTCTCTTCTTATACTTCTATTCTCACCTGACCACCCCTATTTATCCCCTTTTCTTCATCTCAATCGACTCGGTGACATTTATAGCGGAAACAGGCGTGGCACCTTCCATGGGACTCATTTTTTAGGTACCGAGGCAGAAATTTTGTGAATCGCTTTTATCCCCAGGACAAAAATGTAGACCGACAATAGAGAGCAAAAGTGGCTCGTAAGTAGCAACTTGTGGCGAGGGCAGCGACACAGGAGGTCCTGGTGCGCGATCCGCACCAACTGGAGCAACTGATTCAGCTTGACAGGGTTACAGTGTGTCGTGTCAGTTTCAGAAAATACTTCGCTGCAAAGTAAAAAATAATAGCGAAAATCATTTGCTATTGCCCATGAATCCCCAACTAGGTATCCTTGAATTGTGGGAGGTGAGAATTGGGCTTGGTGGAAACGGTCGGCTACACCAGTGTAAAGGTACCCCCCCCAGGCTTTCCATTTGGTCCATTCCATTACTCCTCGCCTAAATAATCCTCTTGCGAAAACCTCTAGTGCGGACAGGACAGCGGCTGCTAGACTATCAAAAGGTATTCATGGAACAGGCTTGAGAGCTGGAGAATGGGACTTGCAGCGGAAGCAGAACGGGAGATGATGAAAGAAGTAAATTATCTATCATATTCCCGGAGGAGTGGACGTGGCTGCGCACAGCAATAGAACATGGCGTAGAAGGGGATTCGTGGGGTATTTGCCTTTAGAGGCTCCTGGCTGAAATACAGCATTACAATTGTCTCAGAGCGGCGAAAACCCTTCGCAGCAAATGCGCAGCTGCCTCTAGGCTCGAACTAGGTGGCGTTCAGTCCACGGTCCAACCGCAGTCATCGCAGAAAGTTAAGTGTGTATGTAGGAAAGTTCGGCTGATGTGGCCATCTCAGGTGGTCACAGGATCATGTAGGACCAAGAATGTCAAATAGAACGGTACTGCATATAAATGTCATAAAAGGATCTGAGTTGAAGTTGCCCAAACCCCCACCCTCTCCCCTTCTTTTCGCAAAATGCTCGGAAGGGGAAGTACGAGTGAAAAAACAAGGGAGAGCAACCGGGCGCTATCGGGGCAAACCCAATAATTCGTTCGAAAGTACGATTTGGATTGTTGCCAAAGGTTATCGCTTGGAGGGGCGACTGCAAAGCATCAGAAAAAAGCAAAGCAGGAAAAGGATCCACTTCTATTTCAGCTTTATCATGATCTTTTGGAAAAATTCGAAGATCTCCGTCACAAGCACGAATCTCAGGTAAGTAGGTAACTGATTTATGACTAAGTGACAGCTAACTAGTTCATCGAAGTGTTCAACAGTGGTGTGTACGATTGCTGGGGGCGGGCGGTTCGCGTCAACATCATTGGTTGAAGGGTTGAGCGGGGTGTGGCCAAAGGCCCTCTCGCAGCCCTCCCACCAACGACGCTAGCAACAACCGCCCGCCTCCAACAAGCGTACCCTCTGCCTTTACCTCCCTAACGATTTTTTTAATACAGCAAATTATTTACATGTAACAGATTGACGGCGAATGTGATAGTATTCGTCTACGCCGCGTAGCCACGAAGGATCCGTCG